TGATGTTTAATATTTTTGAGAGAGAGAGAGAGGAGACATAGAATCCGAAGCGGGCTCTAGGCTCCGAGCTGTCGGCACAGAGCCCGACGCGGGGCTCGAACTCACAAACCGCGATGCCCCCAAGGTTGACTTTTATGAGCTGCTCTTGACAGCTTTCAAGTGTGCACAACGATGTTATTACTATTTTTATTTAAAAGCTTATTTAGTTTGAGAGAGAGAAAGGGAGTGAGAGTGGGGGGGAGGGGTGGAGAGAGAGAGAGAGGAAAAGAGAGAATCCCAATCTCCCACTGTCGGCAGGGAGCCGGACATGGGGCTCAACCTCAGGAACCCCACCATCAGTCCGAGAGGACAAAGATTCAGTACTTAATTGCAGAGCCACAGGTGTGCCCTATAAACTCCGTACCCACTGAATACTAACTGAAAGTCTAAACCTGTTAAACACTAACTCCTCGTCGCCTCCATCCCACAGCCCCTGGTTGCCACTGTTCTTTCTGCCTCTGTGAATCGGACCGTTCTGGGTCCCACGTGTAAGCAGGATCACACGCCATGTGAGCCCCCCATCTGGGCTCTTCACTTAGCATCATGTTTTAAAGTTCATTAGGTGCGTCAGAATTTCCTTCCCTATAAAGGCCAAATAGCAGGGCGCCTGGGTGGCTCAGTAGGTTAAGCGCCAGACTTCGGCTCCGGTCGCGATCCCACGGTTCGTGGGTTCGAGCCCCACGTCGGGCTCTGTGCTGACAGCTCAGAGCCCGGAACCTGCTTCAGCTTCTGTGTCTCCCTCTCTCTCTGCCCCTCCCCTGCTCGTGCTCCATCTCTCTCTCTCTCTCTCTCTCTAAAAAATAAATAAACATTAAAGACAATTAAAAAAAAAATAAAGGCTGAATAGTATTCCACCGTTAAGTATATACCACATTTTCTTCCTCCATTCACCTGTTGGTGGACATTTGGGTTGCTGCTGCCTTTTGACCATTGCCAGTAGTATAGCCATGAACGTGGGTGTGCAGATAATCCATTTGGGTCCCCGCTCCCAGTTCTTCTGTATATATTCCCAGCAGCAGACTTGCCGGGTCAGATGGAAATTCTGCGGTTAACCTTTTGAGGCGTCGCCGTACTGGTGAGGAAGAGGTGTCAGAAGTGGATGTTAACGGTGAACACGAGATATCCAAGCATCCAGGTAGAGGAGAGACGGGGGAGTGCAGAGCAGGGGAAGGAAGGGCCGACCCGTGCCGTGAAGCACAGTGGTGCGTGTGCTTGCTGAAGCCGGGTGTGGCTGGCGAGGGGGCCGTGGAGAGGGTCGTGGACCTCGAAAGGTGGGTGGACCAGGCTGGCGAACTTGGGCTCCTGGCTACGGGCTGTAAGAGGTGCTGAAGGGGTTTTTAATCGGGAAGTGATACCAGCCAGAAGGATGTCCGTGCGGGTGGTGTCACGGGCGGACTGGGAGGGAAAGACGCTTAAGGCGAGGGCCAGGTGGGTCAAAACTGGGTACCGCTGAAGCCGGGTGGCCGGGGTGCATGGAGGGAGCAGGTCTCAGGGTGGACCTGCTTCGGCGGCTGGGTGAACCGAGGTGCCCGCCCCTGCCTGGGTCAGCTGACGGGGGAGTGGCCTGTTTGGCAAGATGACCAAGGGGCAAGCTGGGGCCTGATGGTCTGGAAGGGTCTCTTAGGACCCCTGGGGTGGGGACGAGGGTCGGAGTGGGGTGCAGAGCGGTGGGACCCGGAAGGGGCGACCTTGGGGTGGCACAGAGGGCCCAGAAGAGCTGGAGGCCAGGACGCCACCCCTGCCTGGTCCGGGTCCGCCCCGCCCTGAGCGCGTCATACCAATCCACACCATCAGTCTCTGCGCTTGGGGCTGGGTGCTGGGGGTGGGGGATAGATAAACGTGAGCCGGTTACATCACATATCGTGAGCCGGTAAGTGTAATTCACTTATGCATCCTCCAAAGTTTAGGAAATGGAACTCGGCCAATATCTTTGCACAGTTACGCATGGAATCACATTCGGGGTCGGCGATCCCCGGCGGAAGTAGAGCGTGTACTGAGAGGGTGTCACGGGTCCGTGATTTAGTCCAGGTCAGGGTCTCTCACCTCAGAGCTACTGCCATTCGGGCCAGGTCATCCCGCGTCGTGGGGGGGCTGTCTCATGCCTTGTGGGACGTTCAGGAGCATCCCTGGCCTCTGCCCATCACACTCCCGGCCCATTTGTGACACCCAAAAATGTCTCCCAGGCGTTGCCCGATGTCCCCTGGTGGGACAGAAACCACCTTCAGTTGGGATCCGTCGGTCCGGAGGCCGGGAGATGCTTCTTGCAGGAACGATGTTAATCCACGCTCTAGAAGATATGTAAGAATTAATCAAGATGAAACAGACCTAGGGAGCAGGGGAGAGTACTCTGGGCTTAGGTGACAGTGTGTGCTCAGGCCCTGACGTGGGGAAGAGTGTGAAGGGAGACCAGCCAGGGGAGGCATGGTGGAGGTGGGGAGAGGGGCCAGACGCTTGGGGTGCTTGGGAGGGAGCACAGGCCAGGGAGCCTCCCGGACGCGCGGGATGGAACTGTTGGAGGCTGGCGAGTGACATTTGGGCATTTTGGGTTGGAGCCCCCTGGGAGGCTTCCAGGTGGGGCCCTGAGCTCAGAAGAGAGGTCTGGCCAGAGGTACACGTCTGGGAGTCACATGCATACCCATGATGAGTGAAGCCCTGGGGTGGACGAGGCAGCCCAGGGAGAGCAGATGGACCTGGAAGCGAGCTCCACCATGTAGAGACTGGGGAGGAGCTCCCAGAGAGGGAGCAGAGAAAAACCGTGGTGCCTGGTGCGGGGGAGAGTCGGAGAGTCGGGGAGGAGGGCGAGGCCGCTGTGAGGTCGGTGGGGCCGGAGTGGCCACTGGAGTCGGAGACCAGAAATCAAGGAGCCCAGTGCCCTGGGGCAGGTCGGGCTGAGGCAACGGGGCAGGAGGGAACAGAGACAGACGGCGTGTCTGGAGAAGCAGAGCTACAGACACCTCTGTGGAGGTGAGAGGAAGCCAGAAAGGGAGGCGGGTCAGGGAAGGTTTTGTTCTGTTTATTTCATCCGCTTGTTGCCCACCCTCCCCCCGCCCCGCCTTCTTTTCTTAGAAAGTAAACGTACGTGGTGCCGAAAAAATTTTAAATTGCAGAGACTTCCCTGTGAAAAGTCTCTGTCTCCCGTCTCCCTTGGCCTCCTAGCGCTCTCCCCTTCCTGGAAGCAGCTTCACCAGCTTCCTACGTACCCTTCCAGAGACGGTTCTGGCACGAATCAGTAAAACCGTGTATCGATTCATTCTCCCCCAAAGGGTGGCCCACAGGTGCCCTTCATTTGTCGTTTCCCCGCTTAGCTCTCTTGGGATGCTTCCAGATTGGTCCCTCGAGTGTTCACGGCTGTAGAATGTGCCACTGCGTGGATGTCGCACGTTTATTTGAAGAATCTCCTGGTTTTGGGGTGTCACAAACAACGTCCCACTGAATCGCCTTGTCATCTAGTCATTTTGCAGTAGGCGGTTCATGTGGGATAAAGTCTCGGGAGAGGAATTGAAGGGCCGGAAGGGTGTGTGTTTGGATTTTGAAAGATATCAGCAGACCGCTCTCCATAAAAGTTTAGAAAGATACACTCCAGCGGTGGATGAGGGTGCTCTGGTCCCATGCCCTCTTACGTGAAGTGTTACCAAACTTGCTGACATTTGCCAACCTGGAAGGTAAAAATAGTTTCTCAATAGAGTTTTAATTTGCAATTCTTGGCTGTGTTCACCGACCTGAGAGCCACTTGTGTTTTCTTTACTGTGAACTGTCTTTTCATATATTTTGCCTCCTTTCTCTCAGGTGGTTGGTCTTTTTCTTATTGAATTGGAGGCGATCTTTATATATGAAGGAAACTAGTTTTGTCTAGCAGATCAATTACAAGTGTTTCCCCCACAGTTGATCAAGAAGTTTTTGGCTGTCGCTGCATTTTATTTTATTTTATTTTATTTTATTTTATTTTATTTATTTTTTTAACAATTATGAATGCCGAGGGAGAGAGTCAACTGAGTGGCGGGTCCCTGGTGGGGAGGTCCCTGAGGAAGCATTGGGGTGAGTTCCCGGTTGGGAAACTCCTCTCTGTTGTGTAACAGGCAGAGGGAGGGAGGAGTCTGCAGTTAGTCCAGGGATGGGGTTGTGTTGACGAGGAATCAGAAAGCTAGCGGGGCAGGAGACTGATGGTGTTAGCCAGAGAGCAGTTGATTAAAAAGCACTGGAAACTCAGCTAGATGCCGGGAGGCAAGTGGATGCATCATGTGCTTTCTTAGACTAACGGTCCCAGTTGTTTATATCTTGCCTGTGATCTGGAGCCTTCCTTATCTCACTCTTACACGCCACATAACGTCCCCTGCCCTGAACCACCCGGGGCCAGGGACCAGACAACTGGGGACAGCCCCTGTGCCCCAGAGCCCGCCTGAACTGTTCAAACTAGCTAACCCTAAGCTAGTCACCCTGCCCTGCCTTGCCTTCCCCATGGAAACCCTAATAAAGGCAGTGGCCTGTGTCTTCCCCTCGTTCCTTTCTGCCCCCTGACCAACACGGGTGCTTTTCCATGTGGCCCTGGGAGGTGTAACACGCTCCCTCTCGGGAAATGTAAGTAATAAAAATCTTCTTTCAAGGGCATTAGCTTCTCCGCGTGTCCCTTGGTCACTTCCATACGTTAAAACTCTATGCATACAGTTGAGACAACAGTGCCCCTGGACAGGGACAGAGTATGAGGGGTTGTCGACTGCCGGTCCCAGTGAGGCTCCAAAACTGTCACAGTGTGGGTGGTTAAATAAGCAGGCTGTCCGGGGGGAGGGGGAGGCTTCCTGGAGGAGGTGGCCTGGAGATGAGGAGAGGCCTCGGTGGTGGGGATGGCAGGAACTCAGATGAGGAGGCACAGGGCCGTGGAGGTGGAGGAGGGTGGGCAGAGGTCCAAAGTGAGGCTGGAGAAGAAGATAAGAGAGGGGGGCAGGTCTGATCACGGAAGGGGGAGAAGAGGCAGGTGATAGGGTCCAAGAGCAGGGTGGGTCCTGTGGATACTTGTTGAAAGTGGGT